AAAAAGAAGCCTTCTATATTAAACAAGCCAAAGGAGGGAAATACTGGGATCCTTAAATACTGGGATTTAAGTCGTCTAACTATACATAATGCTGTCTGCCTGACAAGTCATTTTCACTTTACACATTTCAATAGATACACTTTTAAGTTGACAAGAGTAGCAAAACCAAAAGCTTCTCCCCACTACCCACCCATGCCCCTCTCTTTTCCTAACGTGTCAATTCCAGTGACAGAAAGTAGAAAAGTGATCAAAGGTAAAATCTGAAGTGCCTCTTCGGTTAATATTACTAAAGCAGTTCGAGTTCTGCCAAAAGTATTCTGAGTTGGAAATGGCAGAACTGCACTGCCCACATGACAAGCTTGTATTGGCAAGAAATATACAACTTAGGAACTGCAAAGTGAATTCTTCTTCCTACAATCCCTTGGAGGTTAAAAAAAAAAAAAAAAGTTATGCTTTGGCAAAAATCCCCCTGACCAAAATAATTTCCTTTAAACCTTTTAAAAGTTCAAACATATTTTAAACTTTTAGCTGTCACTCATTCTCAGTCTGAGGTTTTCAATTACTCAAACTCCTTAGGTCAAAAAAATTCAGCTGACAAGTTTGAGCTCTGTAACATGCCTCCAAATTATCAAAAATTTAAAAATCTGGGGGCACACGACCTACTGTATGATAAACTTTCAAAACAAACATCAATAAAAATGAAAGAGAAAGGTGCTTTGACCGAAAGTGATAAAAATACACTCATCACACATAACATTTTTAATAGAAGACTACTAAGGTGCCTTCTTTCACTACTATATCACTTCTCTGGTGCTTCTGTGGCATTTGGAAACAAGAAATAATCAGAGAGAAAAGTCACAGTCCTGCCAAGCTACTGTAAAGACTTAGAAGTCCTGATCTGGCTTAGGTCAATACTTGCAAAGGAACACGAGCATAGATGACCATTTTTTTATAGTTGGTGAACTAAGACCCTGCTACATCCCTTTTCTCTTAGAAGACTTCAAACACACAAGATATACTTATTTTGATTGTCATGGCTAAAGTTATACAACACATAGCATACGTGCTTATAAAAAACCCCTAATGAGCAAGTATTAAGCTTAAAAAAAATAGAAGCCTGCTGACAGAGCAGAGGTTTTGCGTAAACACAAACGACAAATCAAGTGTAAGCTTCAGGCGAAGGGTCTGATACTTCTTTGGTCCAAGTGTACAAAATATATCACCAAAACAACTATAGTCCATTATCAGCCACCTGACTTTTGCGCTGTCTTACTGAGCTTTCAGTTTCTGAATCAGCTAAAGGCTGTTTACTTAAGTCCTCCATTTCTTCTTCCCCTGATTCTTTTCCAAGTGCTAAATCCTCCTCTGAGTCATCAGCACTTGAATTTGCTGCATCTTCTCCATCTGAGAGATCTTTTACATCTGCAGTCTCATCTGCATCTTCTCCGGAAAGTTCTGCAGCCTCCTCCGGTTCTTCTAATGCTGCGTTCTCCACATTATCCTTTGTAATTGCTTCTTCTAAACAAAAGAAGAGTTTCAAATACTGCAGTTAGACTGAATCTCAGAACAATGCCTTTTAAAGTTACATCACCATGTATGTATTCTGAAATATTAATGAATGTTATTATTGAAAACTTGTATAGGACTATGTTTTCCTTAGTTCAAATAAATCTTTAGTAGTATTTTTCTTCCATTTTCATTTGTTTTTTTTGCATATAGAGCATAGAGAGCTTTCATTTTGTTCCACCAAGTTACAAACTAAAGACGTATCAATTTTACTTGACTCCCTGAAGAGGTTTAATTATCAAACAAATCAGTGGGAAAGCAGTGAGATACTGGTAAGCTCTGTCAGTAACAGCTGCTGTTGAGTCAACCAGCCAACGGGATAGCATACTGCAGAAGTACGCAGAGGTGCGTGTTTCTTCTGATAGCAATGGACATCTAAGATTTTGAAAACAGCAATTTTGCACACTTATGAATTTAGATTTGGCTAAAGTCTTATTGGCAAGTGTCACAGGTGCATCTTCACCTTCAACAGCAAATCAATACATACAAATGTACACAACTTAAAAAAAAAGTTACAGTTAAGTTCCGACTGCACTTAAAAGCATAAACATACCAAAAGGCGCTCTGGAGCTTAACACAAATCTGGTGCTGACAAGAGACTTTATCTCATGTGCAGATTTTGCCTCCCATGTTCATAGGGAGCAGAATACTATTCAGAAACACTCTGACTAAGGATCAAGAAGATCTATGTTTTCTTCTTTTATGTGAAGGAGATGCAACACCTTCCCCTGTCCCCACACCCGCAGTCTCTAGATTCATTGGATTCTATCTTGTTCTTTCCCGAACCACAAATTATGCAGAGAATTTTACAAGTTCAGAACGTTGCATCTCCTAGTGTAAGATACAGAGTGTATATTAGGATGTGGAAGTGTCCTGCAAATTCCTATATTTAAGCCACAGGTCTAGTGAATGCACACCTGCATAAAATACACACATCCCAGTATCTTTTCACAAGTCTTCCTCATTTTGAATGCATTTAGCCTCTTCATAGTTGTGGAAGCTAGAACAAATTACTGCTGGTTTTTTTGATCTGCTTTGCTATCATCCAGGTGGATGCTTTGACTTTGGTATTTTAGAGCCCAAAACATGAATCCTTTTCAGGGTGACTAAAATGAATTCCTGGATTATTGGTTCATGTCTAACTTCTTGACGTCAAGAACTTCTTGACATTGGTTCACATCTAAGTTCTCCTTCCCATAAGTGTACATTTAAACCTATGGTATCTCACTCACTTAAGAGTTCTTACCAGATGTTTCAGCTCTGTATCTTGATTTGGATGGGCAAAGGCAGTCTGAAATCAAAACAAGTACCTGTGTAAAGGAAAAAAAAAGGAAAAAAAAAAGACATTTATTAGTAAACCATCCCAGCAGCCCCTGCTATTAAGTATTTTCTCATGCTTTTTAAATAGACATACAATAAAATTTAGGAAATTGTATTATCTTGCTGAGAGATAAGAGCTGTGCTAAAGAGCTGAAGTGGAATGTGTTCTCAGTGTATACCAACCTGCTTTCTACTCCAAATTTTCTGCCTCCTATTTCTCTAAATTTATTCACTATTGAAACAGCTTGCATCTTAAGAAGAGCAGCCCAGAACACAGTTGAGGAATTTTCATTTATTTAAAACTAAAGAAACCGCTTTGTCAAGATTTTGTATATTTTGGGATGTTATTCAATTCCTACCCCTGACTCCCCAACATATGATGTGCACTTCCACCTTTTGTGCTTGATTTTGTCTTTTAGGTTTTGTTGTTATTTAAAGCAGTCTAGTGTAGAACTCATAAAATCAAAATGCAAGGAAGATATTTGTGTCTCATGTGCTAAGAACAATGCAAAGGAGAGACAGATGATACTGTGTTAAATACATTTCAATCATTGAAAAGCTTTTAAGAAAAAGCTGATAGATTAACTTCACATTTTTTCAGTTTTTTCAGGGTTTGGTTTTTTTTTTAGTGAAGGAAGAAGGAAAATTTTTTTTCAAATCATCACATTGATTGGCTCCTAGTTACACTAATTTGATTTGCACTCATTTGGTGATGAAAATCTGCCATCTAGAAAAATGCAGATATTTAAATTGTATAATGAAAGACATTTGCTCGTATATACAATTCTGTACACATATTATGTATAAAAATGTGATTTTGCCTAAATACACACACACAGAGAGCTTTGAAATCACTTCCCTATAATGATGTGAAACATACTTATGCAATATTTCTTTATTTCATTACCACTAAATTTGGGCTGAAGGGCAGAAATTCAAATGCCAGAAACAACAAACTTCCTACATGAAACAGCAATTTAGCAGCTAGTAAACCAGTTATGAGTATAACTGTTCTAAACTGTCTTTGCAGCTGCAGAAAATGCTTGTGGACCAAACAACTAGTCTGTAAGAACTTCTGCTCCCATCTATATCTCCTTTTCCAGCTCAGTTTCTTATTTAATATTGATATTGGACAGGTTGTAGAGCCACATCATTCAAATATTCTGAGAGGAAATAATCCCAGCTTTACAGGTAAAGCAACTTTGAACTGTTTCCACTGATGAAACAACATAGGGCTCAGGATATGGTTCTTAACATTTGCATATATAGCTAACAGGTTTGTTTGAATAACCTTCCTGATGTTATGAAGTTTGAAATATGAATGCACCATTACTGGTGAGTAACAAGAGAGGTCAGATTTTTCAATTACTAATGAGAACTCAAATCAAAAGATCATGGGGGAGAAAGAAGTGAAGTCATATTTTAGTAAAACCAAGCTGTAACCATAAAGCTCTGCCCTGGAATAAAGTAAATCAATTAAACCCCCAAATCTTCAAAGCCTTTAAAAAAATATTATCATTTTGAGTAACAGTGCAGCAGCATACTTACATTGCTAACTCTCACAAATACAATCCCACTCCAGCTAATAAGTCTCTCCACAAAGCCTGTGTTTTTAGAAAGTTGAGTCTTTACACAATTCTGACCACGTGCATTCAGCTCTTAAGTACAAAAGTCTCAGATACAAAAGGCCAATATAAAAATCACTTGTTTAGTGGATGGACTAAACAAATCTAAATTGAAGCATGAATTTCATAAAAAGGTTAACCTGGGAGGTAAACACTGGAATAGGCTTCCTAGAGAGGTGGTTAACGCCCCTAGCCTGTCAGAGTTTTAGAGGCATTTGGATAACACCCTTAATAACATGCTTTAACTTGGTCAGCTCTGACTTGTCAGTCAGCTGGACTAGATGATTGCTGTAGGTCCCTTCCAGTTGAAATGGTCTATTCCATTCTATTCTCTTCTCTTAAAATTCTTAAGTATTCAGTACTGCAGATCCACTCTGCTGAACTGTTGTTACCTCCTTTTGGTAAAGGTTAAGGCTGGTTCACTCTAAGTTAACCTCTTGGTAAAGAAAGGCTTCCTAATGTCCAGTTTAAACCTCCTCTGGAACAGCTCTGAACCATTCCCACACATCTTATCACTGGATACCAGGGAGAAGAGATATATCATTAAAATAAGGTACTTCAATACATCTTATCAGTGAAGTTCATTCCTTTTTTCACAAATTAATGCAAAGCAAACATTCTATGTAACCTAGAAAAAGAAAGTAAGATGCTTTCTTACCAAACCCAGGAACAGGCCAATCAATAAGGTAGCTAAGATGAAGATTGCATAAGAAATCCAAACATGAATTCCAAGAGTGACAGTGAGGTAGGTATGAATTTGCTGGAAATGAGAGGAAGATACTTAGTAACTTCACACCTTACACTACTTATGATTTATACTGTCATGGCCATTACATAAATGAAAAATCTTAATTATAGATCAATTTAACAGTATTTATACTTAAGTCTTCCCTCTCAAGCCCTAGTCATCCTTAAATGTCATACCGTAATTCTTTTAATACCATCAAATCTAAATCTTGTTTTTCTTTCTAATGTTCACATTAAAAAGCTTTTAAAGCAAAGGATGCACAATTCTTTCTTCCTATGATACTCAGCATTAGAGATGCCACGTGTAATTTTACTGCAGGTAAATGTATGAGGAAGGCTCAGAGCATACAGGAAAGTATCACAACACTCTTGATCCTTATACTCTGCAAGAAAGTGGCAACTGTCAGAGACAGACTATTGGGCTAGACGAACCCACAGCATGAACGTATGTGTCTGTTTTGATGGCCTCCGTTGCAGGAAGGAGATCATAGACTAAGCATCCCCAATAACGACAGCTGCAGCACCAATTTCAGTCTATAAAGCTGATGATTTTAATAGGTAACTTAGAACTTAAACATTTCAGATCCGAAAAAGCAATCAAGTCAGGTTAAAAGCAAGTGTTCTTTTACACTCCCTTCACAAGCATACCACCAAGTGGAAAAAAAAAAAAAATGTAACCTCATTGAGAGCTTTATCCTCATAATTACATCTGGGAAACCGAGTGGTAGACACTTAAAAGTTGCACAAGGTCAAAATACAACTTAAATTCAGGAATTCATTCATTAACTAAAATTGAGTCATTTAGTTCTTACTCAAGCTCTTTAGTTCTTAAAAGGAGCCACCCATTCTAAGCAGACACTAAGTGATTTCACTTACAAATTTAAAAAGAATAATCCAAATACAATGTTAAGATTTCTTTGAAACTGAAGTCTGTTATTCGAAGGAAGGAAGGAAGGAAGGAAGGAAGGAAGGAAGGAAGGAAGGAAGGAAGGAAGGAAGGAAGGAAGGAAGGAAGGAAGGAAGGAAGGAAGGAAGGAAGGAAGGAAGGAAGGAAGGAAGGAAGGAAGGAAGGAAGGAAGGAAGGAAGGAAGGAAGGAAGGAAGGAAGGAAGGAAGGAAGGAAGGAAGGAAGGAAGGAAGGAAGGAAGGAAGGAAGGAAGGAAGGAAGGAAGGAAGGAAGGAAGGAAGGAAGGAAGGAAGGAAGGAAGGAAGGAAGGAAGGAAGGAAGGAAGGAAGGAAGGAAGGAAGGAAGGAAGGAAGGAAGGAAGGAAGGAAGGAAGGAAGGAAGGAAGGAAGGAAGGAAGGAAGGAAGGAAGGAAGGAAGGAAGGAAGGAAGGAAGGAAGGAAGGAAGGAAGGAAGGAAGGAAGGAAGGAAGGAAGGAAGGAAGGAAGGAAGGAAGGAAGGAAGGAAGGAAGGAAGGAAGGAAGGAAGGAAGGAAGGAAGGAAGGAAGGAAGGAAGGAAGGAAGGAAGGAAGGAAGGAAGGAAGGAAGGAAGGAAGGAAGGAAGGAAGGAAGGAAGGAAGGAAGGAAGGAAGGAAGGAAGGAAGGAAGGAAGGAAGGAAGGAAGGAAGGAAGGAAGGAAGGAAGGAAGGAAATTATGACATTAGATCTCTTCCAAGACTGTATCCATTAGAAAACAAACTACAATCAACATTTACAAAAGTTTAAATATTGAAATTCCAGGGTCTTTTTTTTTTTTTAATGTCAGAACAGCTCCCAACATTTATTAAAGCATATGCAAGGACAGCACAGCAAGAAGAATGAGGAAATGTACTACTGAAATATTCAAAGTGGAATTCAAATTAGAGAAGTTTTCTTCCCAGAGCATTTGATCTTTCAGGAAGGAAGCTAGACAGAGGCAACATCATTACACAGCAACCACAGAAGAGAAATGCTAGAAGGCTATAAAAACTTAACGCTATGCAGTGAAAGAAATAATCAACCTGGTAATTGAAAGTTTTGTTTGATTCTGAATTCGTTAGAGGCTTACCGGAAGTGATACAAACTTTGTTCAAACTCTCCACTACATTTATTTTTTGTAGCACATGTTACAATATTAAAACCTTTTGCTACAATCAAATACAGTCTCTCAATCTTGGCTACACTTGAAGATTTTAAGAAAGAGTATGTTTCCTGAACAGAACTGGAAAAGTCTGAAAATTCTCAGGATCTGCATGCTACAGGAAAACTTTGATAGCTCCCAAATGAAAGAGTCTTGAAATATTTTGAAGTTCAAAGCATAATTCAGTGTACGCTAAACATTTCTCCTTTACTTCTGATAATGACTCTATTGGCCAAATTTATTGTGTTCCTATGCAAACAGCGTTGACAGTTTGAAAATCAGATGTAGAAAGTCTTCCTAAAAAACCAGAACCATTACCCTTCTCTTCTCCTGTACAATATACCAGATGTCAATGAACTGCAGAAGCACGTGATTTACAACTCTGAAAATGAAGCTGGATATAATATTCAGGAATTGTACTAAATGAGAGAACCTGATAGATACTAAATGAATTCCTGATGTTTATAACCATTTTTGCAGCAGCTCTCAAAAAAACCTATTTTATCATGTTAGCACACTCTGATAGAACATTTTAACTCCACCAAGATAATAAGAACAGTAAGTGTTTTCAGTACTGATGATAATCTTTACAATCAAACTGCCATTTCTGGTATAGTCTCTTAGTACTACAAAATTTATAGTGCAAAGATACTATACACACAATATACAGTAAGTGTAAAGAAAATTTATCTCTCATAAAAGCATAATAAAATATTCAGTTACGTTTTGATTTCTTAACAGATTATTATTGTACATGTAAACGGGGGTATGAAAAACACTACCACATATTTACTTACCCTGATCCATCCAGAGAGGTGAAACAGCCCTGCCATACCATGCATCCTAGAAAATAAGGAAAAGGAAGGAACAGGTTCTAAGACTTACAGCAGTTGAGACACACAGCAAACTGCCCAGAAACCAGAAAAAGATTCTATAGACTCAATGCCATTCAGCCCCTAGTAATTGTCAGAAGGAGGCAACTGCAAACAAATACATTTTTTCTGTATTATGTTCATTTAAGCCAGCTGATTGCAAAGCACTGAAAGAGTGACTTGAAAGATGACATTTGAGAATAATCAAGAAATACCAATTCCAGTCCTGTAGCTCCTTTCCCCATTCCTAAATATCATATAGCTCTTCTTCATTCTCAAGATGAAAACTAAGGACAGCCACTGTATCTTTGACAAGAACTTACACATAACAGCTTTAGTCACAAAATGCAGGCCCCAACAGAATCTTGGGTTCATCCTTTATATCACACAAACATTCTATGCTATTTCAAAGTAAATTCAGTGCTCTGAAAACAAATTCTGATAGACTGTGTAAGCACTATACTCTTTCCTATTCCAGAGACTTCCTTGTAAACAAATAAACAAGAAAACCTTAAAGCTAAAGGTTGCCTGCCCCAAGTAGCCAGAAGCCATGAAGTAATAATCTACATAAACATGCATTTGATTCTAGTACTCAGCAGATACTGAAACTGTCACTTACATAATGCTCAGTGGCTGGACTTTTTTCCTTTATATATTTCCAACGTTAATATAAACAAGCCTCGGTAGGTATGAACAGAAAAGCCTCCAGGCTGTCAGCATAACATCCTTTATGAATAATGAGCTATAAAGCATGTTTGTTGTTAATAAAAACAAAGTGTTACATTACATTAAAGAAGATGGAGACTTCCATCCTGCTACGGGCTCCACAGCTTCCCATCTTCTCTCTAAAACATAACCTTGAAGATCTTCCAATGTCCGTGAGCCTCGGTATCTGCGAAATATTCCTTCATTTGCACTAAAATCCAAAAATAAGTATTAACACAGATATTGCTTAACCTGTATCAAACAACAAACTGCATCAAACAAAACAAACAACAAAAACAAAACCACCTACATACTTTATATGAAAGTGCAAAACCTAAGCACTTTCAATATATTTTGAAACTAATCCACGATGGAAGGTCTCAGTTTTTAAACAACATGAGCTTTTGCATTAAAAATGCTATTTTTCTCAAATAAAACTGCACTCACGCTACTGCAGATACAAAGCACATGAGGTTAACAACATCATTTTTAGACATGACTTAATAAAGGGTTCAATGAAGAATGACATCTTTTTATCAGAGAAGAGATATAGCAAACATCTTTCCTAATCCGTTTTTAGCAGTACTGATAACAGGGGAACTTAGTAAAGCCACTTAAACTAAATAAAAGTCCCAAGTGAGGACTTTATCAATACAATCATAGCTCTAAACAATAACCTGAACAGAAATCAAAAGTCACTATTCCTTCATTTTTATCTGCATTTCCGAGTTACAGTTTAAAACAAGTGACAAGGAGGAGTCAACAGGTACATGTTGGTACTGAGTCAAGAGATGAAGCATTCCAGCAGTAAGAGAAACAGTACAGCAAGCAGTGGAAAGTTTCTGCACCGTTTCACATGTGACCTATACAGTCAATTATTCAAATGGGAAATTTATATATATATATGTGACACTTATATAAAGTCAGGTATGTCTGCTCACATATGGTCAGGTTTCTACTGCAAACTTGCACCAATTTTTACAGAAGTTACTAAGTGTTTTTTGCTAGACTGAAAAAGCATCGCTTTTATCTAGGTACAAAAGTGTTTGTAGGAGAACCTTCCACTCCAAGTTAAAAATACACACTTTATGTTCATTGAGTGCACCAAGCTCCTGAGAAATGTTTGAGAGACTGACAAAAGTGAAATAGGGTGGTTGTTCATGACAACTTCCATGCCACTTTTCAAACAGGACAGGAAAAAAGACGACTGTTTCTAGTATGACACACTTACTGGTAAATTGTAGGAAGTGTTGTAACAAAGAAACGACCACTCAAGCCTAGAAAGGGAAGAAAAAAACCACACCAAATAGTTCAGTAAAACTGACGTTTCGCAGCATTCTGACTTATCTACAAATACCTACAGATCTGTATGTGTAGACCAGAAAGCAGCTGACCACACAGCTTTTACCACTGTTTTGTAAATACAGGTTTGCGGTTTGTCTTTAGAAATGCTACAAACAGTAACAGATACTAAATACTGTTGAGAAATTAGTGACAAATACTTACCTTGAAGGACGTTTACTACAAGGTAATTTTTCTACATGGATTTCACTAATCAATACTTGCACACAGCTGGAGTTTTTGACCAGACTTGGCAGTGTGCATCTCCAACCAGGAGAAAGAAGAGTCACACAAATGCATCCATATTTCAGGATGCTGTATGCTTTTGTCTGTGCATACTCTCAGCCAGATGAACTTTGTTTCACAATCTAGAAAACTGAGCAGCTAACGATAGCAATGACAACAACGGCTTACAAACACTGGCCCCTGATATTAATTCATCCTCTAGCTGATTTTAAATTATTTAGAGCTGTATATTTCAGATCTTGGGTACTTCAAGTCATTAAATAAATTAATATTCATTTTTGCCTGTTTACTTCTTTCAAATAATCCATATACACTGCACAACTAGTCTGTTCTTATATCCTGTAGGAAGGTTCAATCTCTCTCACAAACATGACTGTAGCAAGACAATGTTTTGGATGTTGGTAGGTTCTTATCCTTCCTTCATATATATCATTCCTCTCTAGGTAAATACAAATGGTTTGCCAATAGACTGATAATAAAGCTTGGGGTGTTCAGTAAACTACTGCAAATTTAAGCAATGAGAATAATTTTTTACACCATCCAGAAGGGCAAGTCACATCAGCATTTTGAGCATTAGACATAAGACAGCAGAAAGGACAAAGAAAGGTTGAAGTAAGGCTTTAAGAGGCTGACTGGAATTGATCCTCACACTGAAAGTGGATGTTTCACTAACTGCCAAATACATAATAATCTTTTTATAAGTATCACCCTAAACAGTGACAACATAATGCCACTTGTAGGACAGAAAAATTACCCAAATCATCAAAAAGCAGCCTGTTGAGGAGAAGGCGTTTGAAGTTCTCTGGCCTTGCACTAAGTACTGCTAAACAGTAATAGGTGCAAGTGCTTCCAGCTTCACTGCTGTGTTAGGTACATCAATGAAAATCTCCCAGTGCACAGCTTCGTTGCTAAACAGTCAGCTGTGAAGCATCAAGCTCCCAAACATCTCATAAGCAGGCTGTCTGTATGACTCAGCTACCTAAGCTGTCAGGTGAAGATATCATTCTCCTTGCTCTCAAATCTGAGGAAAGTCAGGGTTACTTGGCACTACCACCTCTTGACAATTACAAAAACCTGCAAGTGAGAGGAAGAACTCACCTTAGTGCTTGCTAACTAGAGCTTGCTGTTGTTATTATTGTTTGGTGTTGTTTCCCTCTTCCCTTACCATCCTAGTAAACTGCTTGTCTTCACCCATGAGCCCCATTTGTTTATATTATCTCCTCCCATCCCACCAGAGGGTGGGGGGTGGAGGGCGGGTGAGCGAGCCTCTGTGGTTAAACCACCACAGTTTATTTGGCGCCCAACCAGGGGCACAAAGGGTTGTGATAATAGACCTGACCAGAGCGTGTTAAAACAGTTTTAAGTTCTAACATGGACCAGTTAGAACTAGTCCAGAGAAGGGCCACCAGGATGATCGGAGGGCTGGAGCACCTCTCCTATGAAGACAGGCTGAGAGAGTTGGGGCTGTTCAGCCTGAAAAAGAGAAGGCTCCGGGGTGATCTTATAGCGGCCTCCCAGTACCTGAAGGGCCTACAAGAAAGTTGGGGAAGGACTTTTCCTAAGGACAACTAATGACAAAACAAGGGGAAATGGGTTTAAACTGAAGGAGGGGAGGTTTAGATTAGATATTAGGAAGAAGTTTTTCACTGTGAGGGTGGTCAGACACTGGAACAGGTTGCCCAAGGAAGTTGTGGATGCCCCCTCCCTGGAAGTGTTGAAGGCCAGGCTGGATGAGGCTTTGAGCAACATGGTCTAGTGGAAGGTGTCCCTGCTGATGGCAGGGGGGTTGGAACTGGATGATCTTTAAGGTCCCTTCCAATCCAAACCATTCTATGATTCTATGAAATACATATACTTATTTTTATATATATATATACACACACACACACACACACTTAATATAGTAGTTAAATAGTGATTGGTCACAATGTTGTTTTATTTGTTCACGTGGTTGTGCTATGTAAAAGCTTATATGCGACAGATATTCCCTGCAGTGCTGTCTGTCAGTGCTGGAGAGGGCTCAGGATTCTGATTTTGCTGTACTGTGTAGTGTCAGCTTCTGATACGATCACATCACTGGCCACGCGGTTTGGTTGGTCTTTATTGGCTGTATTGTCGTCACGGCCGTATCTCGGGCACCGTCTGTCACAACATGTTAGTAATCTGTTAGTAATGTGTTAGTAATCACACCCGGGCAGTGAGCGAGCCTCTGTGGTTAAACCACCACAAAGTCACATCTAAGGTCTGAAGAACCTGGCATCACTCAACATTCAGAAAAATTTAGACCAGAAGAAAGTGTGAAGTACCTGATCCCTTCAGGTCCCAATACTTCAAGTTCTTTACCAGAAAGAAGAATTCAAGATCTCAAGTATTTTTATTTTCACTGCCTCACTTCTGAAAGTGCAGTTTTAAGTTACAGTCACATCCTGTCTAATTGTGAGAAAATAAGAAGAAAGGATGATAATGGATCCCCTCCTGCAGCCTTAACTCCAGAGTAACCACTACTTTGTTAATGTGCAGAATCTAATCTAATTTTGAATATTCAAACTCATCTGTTTAATAAACTGATAATGACTATTATATGCACTAAAGGAGAGCCCTCCATCAACAGCTTTTTGGCAGAGTTTTTGTATATTTCTAAACTTTTAACAAAACATTAGTCTACACAAGGTCTAGAACAGCTGGCATTTTCTTGTGAACTTAAATTGCTCTGAAACCAGAGTTTAAGTCATTTCCCTGCTGTTAACATGATAAAGCCAACTTATTTGGCATGTTTCCAAATAATAAAATGGACATATTTTCCACACACTTTATAAGGAAAAAAAAAAAAAAAAAATCAGTAAAGCTTAGCCTTTTTACTTTAGTAACATCTCTTCCTAACTCTGTTAGTCTTTTGATACTGCTGATAAAATCTTTTATCCCTTCAAAGCCAAAAAAGAGCATGAAGCATTCTCAAGAGATGCAGAGGTTTAAACAATATTGGTATTGCTTACACAAAAACACATTCAGAACTCTGAAGGGAGTCACTAAAGGAATAAAGATTGTATTCATGCTTCTGTGGATAGTTAGGAAATCCTTTTTGTAAACACATTTGTATGCATACATCATGAACACAAACATCTATATGTTAAAGCACTGCTCCTATTAAACAAGACAATAAACTAGCACCATCATAGAAACAGTTAAGAACTTCTAAAAGAAGGCTCACACTGTGGTAATGCTACCACACCCTGAAACTCTCCCTAAGTGGAGGCTACAGAACAAGGTTCTTCTGCAGACAGTTTGGAGGAGACAAAGGCAGCAGCTTTCAGTGAATAAGATTAAAACTGAGCATAAGTCCCTTTTAATACAGTATTAAGCCAAATCACACCTCCCCCCCCCCGCTAATTCTTTAATCCTTCAAATTGAGTTTATAAACTTAGGCTCACAAATATGAATTATATGGAAAAAGAAAATGTGGATAACATTTTGATTTAGAAACCTCTTTTCTGACTTGGCTGGTATCCCAGGTACTCCAGTAAAATAACACAAACTCTCAGATACTAAGTGGTACTTAAATTGAATAATTCCTTTTATTAAAACAGTCTATTTCATACTATACCTGGTTCCTGAGTGACATCCACCTTTCCCACAGTGATATCTAGGTGTTCACTTTCCTTTGCAAAACTCTCCCAAGTCAATTCAATCTGTTGACAAGCTGGACACCAAGGAGCGTAGCTGATGGGTGAAGACAAATTAAATATTTTAATATTCTTACACTTACAGACATTCAAATTCATTATATTCATTCAATTCTATATATACTGTATATAGAAAATACAAACACATCAATCACACAGGGAAAAAACCCTGCAGTTTTTCTTAACCAAGTCTACTGAATTAGATAACCAAGTCGTTTTGTATCAGTCCCTACATTCATCCTCGTGTTATTAAAACAAAAACAATCCTCCACAGATCTGAGAAATTCATATCCAAACCCCTCACCTCTCGTGATTTATTCGATTTACATATGAAATAAATCCATTCCCATGGCAGCTATCTAAATTATTGAAGCCAGCCTGTCCTCTGAAGTGGTATCTTTCAAAGTAACATTTCATATTGATTTCCCACACCTTGGAACTTCCAGAAATTACATTCGCCTTAGCCCACTACTCAATATATCAAAGCAGGCCCTTTTTGATATCACTCTTTAGAGACTTAAAAAGAGTACACATCAAATTCCTACTGCTCATACTGCCCATCTCTCTCAAGTCTTTTTTTTTCCTTAGGATTAATTTCAGCAAAACAAGAAAGCATGTTTCCAGAGCTGAGTTTTCTATACTACCAATTGGAATAATCAAACCAAGTTTGCAATTGTTGTTAATATCAACATGAAAACAGAACAGCTCATATGAAGTAATAATACCAGATAATGCTTAAATGCTGATAAAACCCCATTTGCCATCTTCATGTATTTTACCCTAACTTGGTTGACAAAGTCTGCTTGCAGTGGTCTGTCATGTATTCGATTATGGTAACACAGAACAAGTAGGTACAGCATGTAACTGAGCCATGGCAATTGCCCATATGTTGACCAATTCTTTCACAAATGAAGAGAGACCTTTACACGTTTTAACCTAATTCATTGGTGTGGTGGAGGTGGAAATGTATCTATGCAGATTTCAGATATTGTAAAATGAAAGGGAGCAAAATTAGTGGGTCTAGAGACACACTACTCACAGGACTGCATATATCCTGCAGAAACAAATTTCTTCATGGGCAAAGGCTGATATTCTTAACAGCCCACATAACCAGTACACTCTAACTGGGAATCTGTACAAGAAACCTCTTTACTCCTTCAGTTTGTCTGCCAGTACTACCAGCTGATTTAAAGAGTTGCACTTCCTATTCTCTGTCTTCTGATCAGGAATTCTTATTTTCATGGTGGTTGCAGAGATCACCCCAGCCACCCATAGATGTTTCATGTAAATAAGACTGAACCTAAAACAGGTACTTTGTCACAGAAGAGGTAGAAACAAATTTACTCTGAGTGCTTTATGATGGCTCTGAAACTTAAGTATTTAAAAAAGGAAATCTTGTTATTGGGAAGTTAAAAGGATGCAATTTAAATATGTGATGTATTTTACTGTACTAGAAATTTATTATTTTAAATACTGTGGGTTTTTGAATCAACATCACTTCATATGAGATTATCTGCAAACAGTACATAAATCTTAGCTTGTGAAGAAACAGCCACTCAGTATCTTTTAAGAAGATGCTGGAACCAAGTCTCACACGCAGAGTTGTTTCCCATTGTGCTGCTTGCCTAGAAAGGGCTTTTAATAACAGTTTGACAGACACTGTACTTGAGTGTTATTTTATTACAATAGCTTGACTGGTAAGTAAGAAAAATCCATCAGATAACGCTGCTGATTTTGCTCTAAAATTCAAGACAAGAGTAGGAATGTTTTATAAACCCGGCTTCTCTAGATGTGTCCAACTCAAGCCATGAAGTTTTCAAGATGAGTATACCTTTCAGCCTGTTTAAGGTACTATCTGATCTTGAAATAGAAATTTGGCCCGTATCAACATTTATGTTTGCATTTCACATTCATGAGCATTACTTCTAAATGAAATTAAGTGGAATATTCAATAAACATGGTTAATATTCATTCATATGATTATAAACATTTTCTTTTGCTCAACATATTAAAACCCACTCATATCACAGTTTGGCAGTGACAGAACATTACAAGGAACTTCACAAAAAGCCTTAGTTGTTGGCTTCCTAGATTTTACTACCAATATTGGAGGTGGGATGGCAACAGTCACATATGATGTTACAAGATCCATCCACTCAAGCTCAACACTGGCACAATCAGACTTAAAATATTTGCTTTACATTCCTGAAATTACAATTTTTGCCAGACAGGAAACACCCTGTCCCCACACATACAAGAAAGAACTTGCAATAGACATCAGATTCTTGCCATAATTATCCCTGCTGTTTACTTCACCATCCTGACTTTCCTGAAGCTTTACATATGTATTTGTTACAGAGCACTTGAAGCAGTAAGAGGAATTCAGGAAGTGCCTTCTAGAAATAATAAAAACATTCTGTTGCCAAAGCTTTATTTTACCTCCCTCTCAGTCTTAAAATATCTCCCCCTACACTTTCTACTTCAGTAAGATACAGAAGAGTGAAATAGTTCACACTGAGGTCATCTTTATCAAAAGTTTCAAAAAAACTTTCTGCACCCTGAAGAACTGAAGCTTAAGGAGGTGCTTTATGCCAACACAGGCTTCAGATGAATCCTTTAGAACTGTGACCAATTCATATTTCTACAAGAGTCACGGTACAACTACGAGCTGAAGAACTGAAGCTTAAGGAGGTGCTTTATTTCAACACAGGCTTCGGATGAATCCTTTAGAACTGTGACCAATTCGTATTTCTACAAGAGTCACGGTACAACTACGACGTTTCTTCTCTGGATTACAGAATCACAGAAT